GTCTTCAACTAATTTTTTCCCCCGTACAAGAAAATGGTAATCAGGTCTAAGTTAAAGCCTACAGAGAGTCCAAAATTGCAATAATAGATCAAATTACAAAGTCCTCCAGCAATAGTTTGATTAGAACATAAGAAACCAAGTAAAAACAACAATGGCCTAAGCCAAAACCCAGTAAAATTCACTGCAGAGATCCATTCGAATTGAGCAAGATCTGCACTAAAATTAAGCAAGGGAAAAAAGGTACAAATTTTATCATGCACAATCAAGAAAAACCCAAGTACGAAACTGAAATGGGGTTTAAGGGGAAATGTGGGTTCAGATCTGACATGTACCTGAGCGATTAAGAGGGCCGTTTTAGTAATTACAAGATCGCAAAATTATTAGCATTCCTGAAATGACAAGCCATTAGTAAATCACACTACCAGATTGCAGATGATGAAAGAAGAGAACAGTTACTAGTACTAGTGCAGCTTGACAAGAAGCAGCTAGTAGTAGAAGAAATAGTAACAACAAAGGAACAAGATTTCAGGTGAATGTTTGATTGGGATGGAAGTAAAATCGAAGTTGCAAAAAAAAAAAGAAAACTGCTGGAGGCCCATACCATGATATATCTCGTTGTGTACTCATGAGTTTGGACCCTCCACCACCGCTCTCTCTCTCTCTGGAGTTTGCTGTATAGCTGCGTTTGCGTTGTCGTTCTACAGTCGCTTTTACTGAAGTTGGTGGTTACTGTGTACTAAAACGAGGTTTGAATTTCTTTTATTTTATTTATTTTTCCCTATTGGCCCTTTAAATTCTTTTTTTTTTTTTTTTGAAAAAGTTGTTTTTTGTTTACCTTGTTTGGTACACCAATACTTTAATTTGATTGTCCAAATTATAGAATTCCAAAGGTTCGACCACTCTTTTGTTTTTTTCGAGTGTATAATGAAACAAGACCATACCCTTATTTTCAAAGCTTTTCTTAAAAATTCACTCTAATGGCTATTCTTTATCATTCTTTCCCTACAATAACCAAATTCTTCTTAGATAGAGGAACAAAATGATAAATAAATGCATTTGAATTTTAAAAGACTTTGTTTGAATTGCATTTTCTGAACTTTTTATGAAAAAAATATTTTAACGATTTAATACATGTGAGATTGAAAAATGTGTCCACGAAAAATATGTAATGAATTTTCTTTGAAAAATTGCAATCCAATATGAATACTAATAAGTTTTGAGGGGCTCTAAAGTCCGAATATATTATTATTATAATTTAGAGGATCAAGTTGGAATTAACTCCTCGAAGAGTGGGCATATTCGCAAGCAGGAAACAAATACCTCACGAGCATCTAAGGACCGACGGGGGAGTGAGTAGATACTAGATATGGATAATGACAATGACGTGTGAAAACCGAAAAAGGTAAAGGAGTAATTACAGCATCTTTTTTTTTTTTTTTTTCCAAAGCTCCGTCTGGGCTTGGGATCGAAGCCTCTCCATTTAAGTTCTGTCCAGTTAATTTTTATAATATTTGATATAAACTTTTATTATAATTTTAGTGTAGTCATAAAATTTATTAACTTGTATAATTAAGTGATGTAAAATTTATAATTATATTAAAAACATATAATTTTACCCTGAATACTAGCATAAAAATTACGCAAATTAGACCAAACTAAACGGAATCCAATGAAAATTCCCCTCTCTACTTATGTCTTTTCACACGTACTTGAATTTAATGAAAATATATCTAGTACGGATTATATATTCCACGTAAGGTCTGCTTAAGGCGTCCGGAATTGGAGAATTTTGTTAGTGTAGTAAAGGGCATTTTACGATAAAAACTAACGACTAATTGCTTGACTTGAGAAAGCTGGTTAACTTGTCACCTACTTGATGGGCTTAAGGATTAGAAGTAGAAGGGAATCTTAATTACGTCTGCTTGATTAATTCTTGGAAGGATGTGAGAACTGAGAAGCGAAGAGTAGAAGAGAAGAGTAGGAGGGGAGAGGGACGGTTACCGTCCCTGTCAGTTAATGGCCAAGATTTGGCCAACAAAATTTATAAGGTCCAGATTTTAACATATGTGAGATTCACAAAATTTTATACTAATGTTATTGCTGTTGTTCTAGTGTTACATCGTGTACAAATGATGTTACACAGTGTGCAAAATGCACACAAGCTTCCATAACAGTTGCACTGACAACCGTTCCAGCCCCGAATCCAAGTACAAGAGACAGCCTGGACTCTGGAGCCTGTTCACTCAGCTTAGTTAATACTGAGAGAAGATTCCCTCTCCTCTGTCTGTGTGTGTGTGTAAATATATATGGATATAATGCTATATATATATATATATATATATATAATGCTAAATGGGTGTCAAAGCATCTTGAACCTGAACCTGGAAAGGGCCCCGGCCGGTAGTTGATTTGGTGCACCATCCGTGGAATTGAAGAGCGACAAAAACCATACTCGAGCACAAAGGACCCATTGTTACAAACAAACCAAAATAAAAAACAGTTGAATGTCTCACATTACATCCGTCCCCATGATCACTAATTAAAACATTACAGATAAGCTGATTTTCACTATTGAGGTGAATTAGTTGCATTGAGATATTTTATGATCACTTAGGAAATAGAGGTGAGCCTGCCTTCGTGGCTAGCAAATTAAATGCTCAAACTTGTTTGGACTTTGGAGTGTAAATCATCGTAGTAATATTGACAAGTGTTATACTTTTCATTTTAGAACGATTCTATTACATTTGCCATTGCATCAAAATCAAAATTATTTTCAATTTTCATTTCTAATATTATCCTCACATTTATCTATATTTTTAAATACTAAATTCAAATTTAAAATCTAAATTTTTGAGTGCAATTTTGATAATAAATCCGCTGACATCAGTATTTGAAATTTTGAAATGCGACCAATAATTTGGGACGAGAAGAGTGACCGATGAATGATATGGGAGCTCAACAACTACTTGTACTCCTGCACAACGTTAAAATCCATCTTTTGCCCACCCCCGCCAAGGATCTTAGAAGAGAACCTAAAAAGTCGGTCACCCAAAAAAAAAAAAAAAAAAATCCCATGCCATCACACAGCTTTCCTGATGAAAACAAAATGATGAACTACCGACACAACTACAGCTAGGGTCTCCCCGACTAAGAGATCCGTCATCCTACATTTATATTAATTATTCAACACTTATTTAAGTCAAAAAAGCTTATTGACATGATTATCCCAAGGTTAAAAAAACAAAAGAAGATCATAAAACACGAATTGACGAAAATCTCAATCATTACCTGATTAATGACAACCCATCTTACTACTGTTTTAGGATTCATACAGTTTGATCTTGAGCCACAGCGCTGTGGTCGTCGCTGTTTTTGTCTTCGTAATCCGTTCCAATTTTGGATGGTTTTTCCACTAACCAAAACCGAAAGATGAAAAGGATTAATGGTTTAAGTTTCTGTCGTTGATACATTAGTAAGCAATGTTTGATGTGATGAAAGTGGAATCGTGTCGGTGCTAACTGTTGAACGTTGATGTGATGAAGCACCAAACAGATAAAAAATTATTAAGATCCACAGAGGAGCTAAATTGACAGCAACTGAATTATTATTGGGCTTTAGCCAGGGCCCATCGCCAGGTTGCATTTCATGTGCTGATTATTTCTCTCTGTTTGGATCCACTTGTCTGTAAATATTTTTTTTTTACATCATAAATGCATTATTATTTTTAACACCTTTTTTTTTATTATTTTGACATACGTTATCACATCATAAAAGATGTTACAATATAGCTCTTAAAAATTTTATCAAAATATGAACATATTAATATATCACATCATAAAAGTTGATACAATATCATTTAAAAATGTTTTCCAAATGCTGAACATGGTGCATCTGCCGGAGATTGTCCCGTCTGAAGTGCTATTTTTAGGAGTTTTAATAAAAAAAAAATGTTTTATAACTATTTGATATATGTGAAGTAAATATATGATTAAAAAAAATGTGTTCACGAAAAACGTAAATATTTTTTCTACAAAAAACGAGATGATATTATGGAGAATTCGTCTAAAACCATTTCGCATTCACGGACGGTAACCCTCTAAAGCTCCAATTTCATCCCAACTGTAGCAATCTCCGGTTTAGTTTACCGTAGGGCTACGGATAGTGTCTACCCTCATCCAAGTTGCAATCGCGTGCCAATTGGCCCAACAAGCTCCCCAGAAGTACAGAAGAATAAAACATACTACTACTAGTCATTATTCAACTATGTGCAGTAATCTGCTAAACGAGGTGAGCTAAGTCCGGGAGCGGGAGCGGAAGCAAAACAAACCTACAAAGCCGAGTTTGAACCAACATCCTTGAAATGTAAACAATCCGTCAAGTAGCAGTTGGATGCAAGCGTCCGCTGCATATACCCACACATTTGACAGAAAGTGCCCCCATTCGTTACCAGACAAGTCCCATATTACTATTCAGGTGATACATCCGCTCTGACATGTAATTCCTTTTGAGGGGTCTTGACTCCATACTCAATTTCTGCTGGACTTTATCCCACTTATCTCCATCAATTTTTAATGGCTTCACCGAAAATTTAGCATTGAAATTTTTTTTTTTTTTTTAAAAAAGAGAAAACCAAGGACGGTCCGTTGACTTGAACTGGTAAGTGCTTTGGCCTATAGATCTAAGACGTTCAACTGATTAGCCATGTCGTGGTTTATTTGATACAGAGTCCTGCAAGTCATGACATGACTGCTTGCGTAAAAACAATTTCATACTATTCCACAGGGGTGAGCAATTACGGTAATTACCGAATTACCGATCGAAATCGATTTCAATTTGGTAATTCGAATTCGGTAATTCGGTCGGTAAATCGGTGGTATCGAATTAGTAAGAATCGAATTAGGGTCGAATTTGGTTTTGGGGTTTTTGAATTCGGATTTACCGAATTCGAATTGAATTCGGTAAAACGGTAAAATATTACCGTTTTGAAATTCGAAATTCCGAATAATATTATACCTCAAGCTTTTGTCGTTTCCAACGAAACAAAAAGCGAAAGACGGAAGAAGATTCACAACTCAACAAACACACGTAAGCCTCGTCGTTATGACAACCTAAAACCATTCACACCTGGGCAGTTCATCTTCGTCAATTTATAGGACTAGAGCAGACTCCACTATTATCCGTATATTAGTTGATTAAAGCATAAATACTGAATATTTTGCTCAAAGAAATCGATCAAAGGAGAAGCAGAGATGGCGAAACTGTTGCAGGATCTTGTGTACCAGGAAGAATCTCCTTCGATTTACACAACAGCCCTATCTGGGATAACTCTCTTGTTTTTGGCTTACTTGGGTATCTCAGAAACCTTGGGAAATCACCTCAAGTACTCCAAATTCTGGAACGTCAATTCACAGAAATCTGGAGGGGGAATCAAACTACCCAGCAGAACTGGGATGCTTCTACTCTACAGCCCAGCAGCCGTTGCGGATCTTGCTTCATTTCTGATCTTCCCCGGTGGTGGAATCAGGTTCTTGATGCTCAAATTAGCTATTACCATTCACTTCTCCAAGAGGGTCCTAAATTATGATTTCTGAATTTTAATGATCAATGTGAATTGTGTGTTGTTTTGATTTCGAATTTCTGGAGTGATTTGTGATCAGTTACATTCGAACAATTTGTAAGTTGTGACTCAGTTCAATAGCATTGCTATTTGCTGATGAAAAATGGGCCGAAGAAGCAGTTTTCTGGAATTCGGTATTTTTTTGTTTACCGAATTGAATTCGGGTTGAATTCGAATTCAGTAGTGTCTAATTCGAATGCGAATTAGGTCGAATATTTCCAGAACCATTTACCGAAAATTACCGATTTCAAGCTACCGAATTCGAATTCGATGCTCACCCCTACTATTCCACGCATATCGAATACAAGAAAGGCAGTATGTACAAAGACTCACATAAGGTCCCGTTTGGATTGCATTTTCCGTCATTTTTCATGGAAAAATTACTGTAGCGATTTGATGTATGTGAGGAAAAAAGGTAATGGGGAAATGTGTTCACGGAAAATGACGAAATTTTTCTACGGAAAATAGCAATCCAAGCAAAGCCAACAATCCATCGGGACAAGTGACACTTGAGTCCCTACAAGCCAATACATCACATAAATTTGCCAAATTGTTTCAACTACATCAGTTAACAATGTAGTGACGACATTTCAAAGAAACACAGGCCATTCTGACCAGGAGAAATGAGTTTCTGCTACCCAGCTTAGCTCATCATTTAGCAATCTCCTTCACCTTTGCAAGGAGTCATTCTAGTCGGCTGTCCAGCTCTGTTCAACTATCTCACGCACCTTCCTGTTGTATTCACGTTTATTCTCACTAAACAACCTTGCTGCTTCAGAGTTGGCTGGCGAGTTAGGATTTGGATCACAAAGCAGCGACTGCAGTTCATAAAGGTAAGGTTTGTGTATCAAGCAAACGAAATACCTCCAAAAGCTTTAAAAGAAGAGAACAAACAAACAAATTAATACTGCACCATGGTCCAATGCACTGTATATATACCATGCAGAAGTTAATGCCCTACAAACAGTAGTTAAGGAACAAATAATCTGATCCCACTCCAAAAGCACACAGATGCTTGCTGGGCATACTTCATGGTTTGGGAACTTATAAAATGCTTATCTACAAATAACCCACAACAGTGCATTTGTATGGGTGTGTATATATATACGTAGATTATACACAAGTACGTTAAGAGCCTACCCATGTAATGCTGAATAAAACGGAGAAAAAATGCACAACAACATAAAGCAATCATCACAATTTCATTCACATGTGAACCACAAAAATTTCTCAACCTTTTATGTTTCAAATGATGAAATGCTTAACACAATTATCGTACCTGAATAGATGTAAGTATAGCTGCTACATCATAAATCGGACTCCACTGATTTTGCAGAATGTCCAAGCAAATACTTCCATCAGCATAAACTGGTAAAGAGTGAAGAGAGAGAGATGCAGTGGTTAACCAAACCACAGATGACACACACACACTGAAAGCTAATGAAAAGCATACAAAACTATATCACTGAGATGTATAGAAATAGCTACTACTGCAACCAACCAAAGATCGGACCAATTTTTCCCCCCATGAAACAAAAAATAGAATGTAACACTTCAAAACCAACCCCCCTTCTCCCAACCCACCTCTCCTCCGGTTTGTGCCACAAACTAGACATCTGCCCTGTAGGTTCACTAAATTGCAGAGACATTGCCTGTTGTTTACTTCAGTTAAATAGAGACCTATTAAATAATAAACAATTACCAATAATTGGAAAAGGAAAAGTGGGGGAAAAACCTTGTTTTACTTTTAAATGGTTGGCCCATACTTTAAAAGCAAGTCTAATCCTTCATTTATCAGCCACCTGCTATCACTGCCACTCATCCTGTGTTTACTCACACCAAAACACAGTGGTCTTCCCCCAGAAGCACCCAGCCAATCCAATCATCGACCCCAAAATTCTGCCTCGTTACCACTAACTCTCCCTGTCCCTATTCTTTTGCCCCTCCCAGAATCTGCCATGACACTTCAGTTCCCAAAGCCTACTTTCCCTGTGATTCCGTGGTACAACTTTGACCAGTGTAAAAGCCAATTAAGATGAGAAATAATCTACAAATGAATTTCATCAAGGCCATGGAGATTTCCACCTCGTAAGCTCTAAGAAAGCAAAATGTTATTGGCATGAGGTAGGAAAAATATCAAAGCAAGAAATTAAGCACAGCATTTTGTATTACTAGATAAACACCATCATGATTGCATTATCTTATCATTCCCCGCCATTTGTCAATAAGCAAACATGCAAAAGCCTGTTACATGGTTATCACTGTCCACTCCAACCCAACTCCAGCAACTCACCAAGCCAAGACAGAAAGCAAATTTGAGGATCTCGCACACGATGAGAATAGCGCTCCAGGCAAGTATAATAATTAGAGAGGAAGTCTACTTAGAAACCTTAAGTAAGTTCCTTCGTCTCATCATAAGTTCTCCAAATAGGACCACCAATCAACAGAGTTCTAGCACATTAAGATGCAACTCTCCTCAAGAAAGCACATTTCAGAATAAAGCTGATAACAAAGCTTGAGCATATTTCCGTGACTTGTCCAGATATCAAATTATTTGCTAATTCATTACTACAATAAAGATACATTATCTTGTACCATCATTTTAACAGCAACCATTCATCCGACTCGAGGAAGTGGTGAACATTATTCACTTACTATTTGGGTGAAACATTCTTGAAATGAACCGCACTGTCGGTGGCTTATTTGGATAATCCTCAGTAAACTGAAGTGTCAACTTAAACGTACCTAGCAAACAAAACAAGCAAAAAATGAATGTATACATCACCAAAAACACGAATGCATAGCGTCGTAGCTGAAAATAAAAAGAATGTGTCCTAAGCCTTGTCAACTAATGTTGTCCCCCAAATATTAAAAAAAAAAATGCACATGATTATTGCTACCTTTTAAGTGAATGTCATGCTAATGGTCCACTTAAGGAATGACAAAAAGCCATCAGCTTCTATGTTACATAGAATGTTAAAATCACAGCTATAGACCAAAAGAGAACATGCCACTTAACGCATGAAAAAATTCCATCTGTTGGTCATGAAATAGAAAAAGCATACCCTACAAAAGGTTTCAAAGGACAGCACAACAAGATCCACAAATGAGGAATAAATTGAACAAATTACTAAAGCAATAGATATAACAACAAAGCCCAACTAAGACCTATTCAACCTGCAAAAAGTCCAATTTCCACTAACAAAATCCCAAAAGAAAATGTGTGATTACGGATGCCTCAAACTACTCAATAAACTCCACCATCGAAAAAATGTAGTTGGATGAAATACAATAATTAAAAGCATAAAATACCAAAAAAGAAAAGCAAAAAACATGTCTTAAGGAAGAAAGGGAGGGCTTACAAACATGTATGTTCCAGAAAAAAAGAAATTTAAAAAAAGAACCACATCCAGTTCAAGCTAAAAGTTGATTAAAACTCATGTTTAACAGCAAAATCTGTCTTACCTCCATCCCAAGGAGTGTCGTCTGGGCTGCACATTAAAAACCAACGGAATCAGCAAATCAAATATAAAGCTACACGAATTAATATTAGGGCCGAGAGCTGCTTAAATAAAAAGGTATGCTTCAAAATTACACGCAGTAAATACCCAAATATAACAGCGTTCCAAAGCGTTATATTGTTATCGTAAGGGGCACCACTGATGCCGGCAGGAGGGTCCTGCTGTAAACGCTTGAAATCCCTCATCAGTCTCTTCCTCGCCGGCGTCGACATGCTCCGCGCCACCTGAATAATCAAAAGTAAGCTCAGTTCTTGCACAGAAAAGCAAATTTCCTCATCCAAGATACTAAACCAATCTAACGCCAGGAAATTCAGATACCATTTTGAAAAATTTTCAGCTAAATCTAGAAGTCCTGAATAAAACCCATTAAGTACAAACCAGAAACCCTAGATCCATACACATCACCAGAATCTCAGCCGGAAAAGAGAAAATTTGAAAAAAAGAGGATGCCTAAACACTAGATTGTAGACATAAACAAACCTATATACAAATGCGAGAAATATAACCATGTCCATAAGCTTGTGCACAAATGACTATGGAAGGAGAAAATAGAATTACCACCTGGAAGAAGAAGCGACAGCAAAATTAGAGATGGTGATGCGCCGGGGAGACGAGAGATTTGAATTGAAGATGGATGATCGGCCTCGGGCAGAGTTGACAGGGGACTGGGGAATTCTCTTCTATGGCAGTGTTGGAGATCCGTCGGCCTCTCATATATTTTACACAGACGACGGCAGGAGATTATGGGGGAGAGTTGGCGTCATATATAAGCTGGTGAGGCATATTTTATGCGCGTATCTACCCACGGATTAAGCTGTGTATTTATCGTATCGCGGGGTCCACGTCAGGTCTTACAGATCAAATTCCGGATTCGGAGCTGCAGATCTTTTTCACCAAGTTGCTCCTACTGTGCTCGGTATGCTGCCCTGGCAGGCAGGCAGTACAAAATGCAAAAATTTCAAATTTTGCATTTTGCTTATATCGGACATATAATTTTTAACCATAAAAAGTATTACAATAATTATCTCAAATAAATATTTTAAATAACCTCTTATCCAAACGAACTCATAAAAAAACTAGTTTTAGACTTGACGCAGCATTGGCATGCAAATGTTGTGGTGCTCCTGCTTACTATTGTTCATGTTCAATTATAAACGAATAAAAATATGGATTAATCTTGTATATATTGTTAATGTATATATTATTATTCTTAGATCAATATATACACTATCACCGTCAAATATATGACACATATGTAAAATATAAATTTTACTCATGTCTCATTCATCTAACTGTGGCAGTATATATACTGACCGTGCATATAAGATTTACTCTAAAAATATTACGAATTTAGACATTTAAACTTATGTCTCATCGGAATTTAAACATTTAAATTTAATTAATATATAACCATTGGATAATACCAATCAAGTTTATTAAAGAATAAAATAAGTAATGAATGACCCATGTC